CATGCATAATATACATACATGCAATTATGTACTTTTCCAACTAATTTCTAACTAATATATTTCAAAATCACACCCAAATCAGAGAAGACGACTATGTGCTATAAATGTCTATAATACTAGTTTCTAATCACGTCAATACATAATTTAATTTTTTTCAACCAGGAAATTAAAAATATATTTATAACCGTTACTCGTAGTGTAAAAGCAAAGACACTATAATATTATTCTAATGTCTTTGCTAAAAGGGTATACTAGATTCTTTGAAAAGTATATAACAGGCAGAAGGAATCGTTTCGACCATAAATATTATATTCTTGATCAGGCCACGTCCGTCCGTCTGTCTGTCCGTCCGTATGAACGTCGAGATCTCAGGAACTACATATAAAAGCTAGAAAGTTGAGATTAGGCATGCAGCTTCCAGAAACATAGACGGAGCGCAAGTTTGTTAAATGATGTTAAACGCCCACAAGCCAAAAACTGACACGTCCACACTTTAATCACACACAAAAGCAAAATTGTTTTGATATTTTTTTCAGTTTTTTATTAGTCCTGTAAATTTCTATCGAATTGCTATACGACCCACAAACTGTCACGCCCAAATTTTTGGAAAAAAATTTTATTTTTTTTTTTAATTTTTGTATTTTTTTATCGCAATTTTTACCGACATTCCAGAAAATGTTTAAATTTCTCGTTTGCACTTCCACTAGCTGAGTAACGGGTATCTGATAGTCGGGGAACTCGACTATAGCGTTCTCTCTGGTTTTTTTCTGTGCAACTGAAGCAACCAGTTGTTGATTAGCAAAACGAGCCTTGACCGAACTTCTCCTTTCTCGTTTTTCGATGAGCAATATTTATGCCATTCATTAATTTGCATGTTTTAAAGGAGTTTAAGGCGTATAGCCGCAACGACCTTGAAAGTAAATTTTAATCAGCACATCCTTAAAAAAATAAAAAGAGACTGGCGTGACTCATCCGACCAGCCAGCTCACATTAAAGCCGTTAAGATCTTTGTATGCGGAAATGGCGCACAAGGGAGATGACCAAGCATCACTATGATGGACAGACACAATTGGGCTACAGGAGAATTTCATGGTAGTCGCAATAAAAACTATACTACATACATATGTATATCATATCTCATCTCGAGAAATTCGTTGGAAGTAACCAAAAGCAGAAAACAAATTCAAGCTCGAAGTTAAAAAGCCCACACTCGCCGTCAAACGCATAAGAACGACACATCATTGTCAGCTTCATCATAGTCATCAGATACGGATACAGATTTTTTTGAGTTCTACTGTTCCCAAATATGTGTACGTTTTTTTGTCTGTATCACAAACGTTTCTTACGGTGTTTATCCCAATTTATAGAATGGGGCACGTTTGGTTCCGACTTTCGTATGCGGCTTCATGCTGATTATTCAGTTCAATCCATTCATTTAAAGAAAATCATTCATGCGAAATCTGCATTTCCATTTCCATATTCTTTGACTGCTCCGTTCATTCGCTGTTTATGTGCATTCACTAATTTATGAAATTTTATCGCTATTGGACATATGATTATACCCGTTACCCCTATGTGTACTAGATTTGTTGAAAGGTATCAATGTGTTCAGTCGATTTTACTTTGTCCGTCCGTCCTTCTGGCCGTACAAGCCTCGAGATCTCGGAAGATTTTGTGTATGAACTAAATCCATGTAATCGCCTTCCATCGCTATGCGAATAAAAGTTTTCTTTAACACCAGCGTCTTGACACCTTTTCAACCAAAGTCGAAACCGCAGAAGGGTAGAGTACAGAAAGAATAGTGGTTTAATGACCCACTTCACCGGGCCTAATTTAAATGAAAAAACCCAAAGTCAAAGCGGTGTAATGCTACCAAAATCTGCGACGGTGGTAGAGAGGGAAAACTTTCGTATCAGCCGAATCACAACGCCAGAACCCACCTACAGAGATATTTATCGGACAGCATTTTCCCAATCTTCAAATTATCAATTTCATCTACAAAAAAAAACGCATTTGATTTTCCGACATAGACTTATATAATCAACTTCTTTATAACCACAAAAAATACTTTTATTTTTATTACGACTACGCCGAGAAATATGCGTGGGAATTGAGTTGAGAAATTGTATTGTTTACAATGTACAGGCAAGCAGAAGCAGTAGCAATAATATTAATAACGAAAGGTGAAAAATAGACACAAATTCATCTCTGGAGGAAACAAATGAAGCCTACGAGTTTTGCTACTGGTTGGCCTGAAGTGAGAGTGAAGAACCACCTGAAGTGGCTCTACCAGAAACCCAAGATCTAAAGAGGCTAAGCCACTGGAGAGTAGCAGAGTCATCAAGCGCGTTTTGTGGTCATCATCATCTCCGAGATACAAACTTCCCTCACTCAAATATTCATGGAGCGCTTCACTCACATTGCCACAGAATCTCATTGCTATAGCTCTATTTCACGGGCTTGCATATTTTATATGTTAATTAGAAGATTGCTGGACCAACCACTAAAAGCGATTTTGTTACAATGCAAAGCACGAGGTGAACTTACTGGAAAATAAGAAAGGATCTGTATGAAATTTTCTTTTACCTATGCCATTAATCTAGTAAATATACAAATACAAAAAAACAAATACTGTGCTTTTCGTACATTTAAGCCTGTGTTACAGATTTTTCTCGAAGGCCTTTCTTACATTAAAACGTGTTACAATTCTGAACCACCTCCGACTGGGTTTGCTATACACTGTTTTTGAGCATAATCTCTTGTGTAGCTTGTTTGACCTAACTTAAACTAAGAAAGGCTTTGACAACTCCAAAAGACAACAACTTCTGAGAAAAAAAGTATCCGTTTTGTTTTTACCACAGTTCGCTTAGGAAATTTGTTTCTGACGGTAAACAAACTTAACTTAACGTATTCGACGTCAGATATAAAAAAACGAATTCTAAAGATGGTCTATAAAAGAGTGCCAAGAACCAGAAATTTCAACAAAGAAAAAAGAATTTGAAAATGACTGTGATGGGCGCTATTCAAACATCTAAGATATATAGACAAATGGATAATAATACGTTTGTTGCCCTCTCAAATCTGTCCCACGTTCATCAACTTTTTTCGTACCTAACTTCAATTTGACTTTCAAAACACGTGTCACCATAAAATTATTATTATGCATAGCATAGTATTCATCGAAGTAACATAAAAGTAGACCTGTGAACTTGTCGGTTATTTTATGAATAATTTAAGAACATTTAAATGCTCAACTCGTAAATTAATAGAAAGTCAATTTTTAATTTGTCTGCTGGAAGGGATTCAATCGGGGGAAAATATGGACTTGCTGAGCGTTTTACTGTTTGAGAGAGACATCTTAGGGATCGACATAAAAGACACATTGACCAAGAGGCGATAAGCCAGGAATAAACAAGAGAGAACGATATAGTCGATATCCCCGACTATCAGATACCCGTTACTTAGCTAGAGGAGGTGTGAACACGAATATTCAACATTTTTCTGGCTTGATAGTTTTGGTTGATTTGTGGTCGTTAGAAGAATCGTGGTCAAAATATTTGTGGTATACGAATAAAAATTGGCAAGACAGCAAAACATAACAAAAATAAACATAATTCAAAGGTGAGTTTTTTAGCAAATCTGAAGAAATTTACAAGACTAATAAAATAATTTAAAATTATTAAAACATTTATCAAAAATGTGGGTGTGGCAGTTTGTGGGCGTTAGAGTAAGCGTGGCAACATCATGAAAAAACTTGTACTGCGTCTATGTCACTGGAGTCACATGCCTAGTCTCAACTTTCTAGCTGTTATAGTTTCTAAAGATCTCAACATTCATACGGACGGACAGGCGGACATGTTCAGATCGACTCGGCTAGTGATTCTGATCAAAAATATATATACTATATGGGATCGGAAACGTTTCCTTCTACCTGTTACATACTTTTCAGCGAATCTAGTATACCCTTTAATCTACGACTGATGGGTATAAAAATCCAAAAAAGATACAGAGCTTTGTATATCTTTTGAATACATTAATACTCCAGGTATAATGGCCATATTTTCCCTATTTCTTAAATTCTTAATTCTTACGTCTTCTTTTTGGCAAATTCTGATAGTTTGGTTGTCCCATAAATTTTGTTGTCCCAAAATGCCTCAGCAGCAAAAGGAAAATATAAAAACAGCATACAGATACGCATTCACGATTTTAGCTGCCTTTTCTCTTCGTTTTCACACCGAAAATCAGAAGAAACGTGAAAAATTCCTGTCTGACTAAGACAGGGAGCTCTCTACAAATATCTCGGATATGCCTGTGCTTATATATAGCTGCAAATAGGCGTATATATTTATATGGAACGTATTTTCATATAATTTCTTTCATTTCCATACACACACGCCGTGCTCTATTTTTGTGAGGAGCATTTGTGGAGCTGTTTTCGTCGCCGTATTCTTCTTTCTCTAACTCAATTTTCATTACATTTTCATTTTTCTCTTATATCTATCTGGCTTCTTTTCGGGTTTCGAGTTTTTATGGCTTTTTATTTGGCCTGCTCTATTTCTGTGTACATTGTTTTCGTTTGCCCTTGTCCGGCAAACATAAAAAAAAATCTAAATAAAAGCATTTCCCATTTTATTGTTTGTAGCGGATTTAACTTGAACTTCTACTTTTCTTCCATTACACTTTTTTAAATTTTACGCTCTATAAAATTTTTTTTGATTTTTCACCACATATTATCAAAAATTTATAGGCCGAAATCTTTGAATCTTTTATTAAAATTAAAATCACATAAAAAACGGAGATTTAAATTATTTCTCTTTTAATGAAGTTGAACATCTTTATTGAGCTAGTTAGGTTTTGATTGCAAACTTATTTTAGGAATGTTTTTATTTATTTATGTTCCCCTAAATTTTAAATATAATTTGGTAATGTACAAAAATGGTAAAATTTAGATGATTTCAGTATTGTCAAATCGAGTTGGTAATCGAGAATGCTTGACTTACCATACGAAGCAGTTTTAGGATTCTTTCTCTGACTTTTCTAAAGGCTGCATTAAACCTGCAAAAAAATAAGATAATCGAGAGATGCATTGAATACTGGAATAAATTATTAATACTACAAAATTTAATCCAGATTTAGTCTTATGCAATAATGAGAATGTAATTAGGCTATAATTCATAATGCAGTAACGATCATCAAACGATGAAATAAGTACTAGATCAATTGACAAGTCCAAAAGATTTTTAAAAACCACCTGTAAAAATTTGTCCGGTGGCGGTTCATTATTTTGTGAGTTATAGCATTTTAAGTGAAGCTACTTTTGTTAGTGTGAAAAAAATGGATAACAAAGAATTTCGTGTTTTGATAAAAAAAAAACTGATTTTTGAAGGGGGAAAAACAGTTGATGCAAAAACTTGAGTTGAAAATGAGTGCAGGTTTTTGGAGTTTTTTGGAGTGAAAATGAAAACAGCCGCAGGAAAATCAACCATCAAGGATTGATATGTTAAGTTTAGACGGTTACTTTTCAATTGGCCTGTTATGCTGAAATATATAATATCATTTATCATTAATATTCTAAAAATGTATTACAGACTGCATAATTTGCACAACCAAAAATGCGTAACGCCCTCGACAGCTATGCAGCCGGTATTTTAATTTTTGAGCAGCCAAGAACTCAAAATTCCTGTAGATCAGCTAGGCATGGCAAAAAGGCACAAAATTTGTTGTTGATATTTTGTTCATTCGACGGCTCGACGTCAACTAAAGAATTACAGAAAATTATGCATGCGAAAGACACTGAAGAATCTGCGAGATGAGTATCTATCGCCGAATCAATAATGATTGGATGTGTTGTTTGTTTGGTTCATTCTCAAACAATTAATTGTGATGACGATCATTCCACAAGATAGAGAATGCCGCTGGCTCAGCTATATTTTGGACAAATCTTCCAATCTTCTTGTACAGCAAATAAATAGTTCTTCGCGGTTTCGATTTCCGTTGGGTTATTGAGGCCGCGCACCATCCAATTCCAACTCTCCCAGGCCTTTTCAATTAAGATGAACAAAAATGAACTCGATTGTCGTCATTTCGGGGTGCAAAAATAAACATTTTTATTGCCCACATGGCGCCAACAAAAATATGTAACTTGTATGTAAGCAGCGCCGATGTGTAAATTAAAAAAATCAAATTGCGGAAAAAATACTCGTGTGCTCGTGCCAGTTGCTAATAAATATGCAATTAAAACGCATAGAAATATCTCGACGCACGCAGAGTAACTGAGAAAATATTAGCCAAACGATGATTTTGCAGATTCATCTGATGAAGATCAAACGCTGTGAGTAAAGCCAGCCCAAAGGGTTGACATAATTTACTTAATTGATCATAAAATGGAAACGAGGCGTGCGGATAAACTCAATTAGAGGCCTACGAGGTACACCAACAATATATTAAAAGTTTTGTTTCAGATGGAAGCAGTTTCAGAAGAGAACCCCATTTAAAGTTTCGTTTTTGGGAATATATAGATTTCATCAATATTCAACCCACGAATAAAACACTACACCAATTTCCAAAAATTTTTAATAAAAAATCAAGTAAATACAAGTAAATACCAAATACAAGTATACAAATATAAATACGTTCAAAAAAGTCAACATTTTGATTTTGGAAAATTTTTTAAATTTCATATCTTTAAAACTGGAAGTGGGCAAAAAAAAATTAATTAATTAATTTAATTAATTAATTAATTAAAAATTAAATTAAATAAACATGGGCAAAAGATTCCAGCTTTCAGTTTTAAAAAATTTCATTTTACTGAACCCAGCTTTTTTGAGCTTTCAACGAATCTAGTATACCCTAGTATACCTCTAGTATACGAGTAACGGGTATACAAATGAGAAATTGTCAAGGGGATATTTTTGTAAGCACGTGATTCCAGCGTCTCCACTTATTAGAACACTTTACGCCTCGTTAATTGACAAAATAAAAAACGAACTTTCTTTAGCCGAAAAGCCCAGTTAAGACCCAATTCAATAGCACGTACGTTGAGGCAGGTGAACCTGACCAATATGGTCAGGCGTCCGAAGACTTTCTTTGTTCATCAAAAACACATAAAGCCAGCCAGACATTTTCACTAAAAAATGGCAGTAGAACAAACCTATACGTGTTATACCACATTTCTCTATATGTCTTTATTAAAAGCTAATCAATGAACCAAGTGCCGAGGTAGACATACAAATACATTTAAGTAGGCTTTATAAAAATCCAAGCAATTACAACAAGAAGGGAAAATACATCGTGACAAAAATGATAATGGTTTGTAAATTAGACAACAGAGACGACCAATGTTAAAGAAAGTTGTTTAAGTGGCATTTTTTTAATAGACGTACAAGAAAAAACAAGAATGCTTTAGTCGAGTTCCCCCGACTATCAGATACCCGTTAATCAGCTAGTGGAAGTGCTAACTAGAAATTTCAAAATTTTCTGTAATATCGGTAGAAATTGGGGAACAAAAATAAATACAAAAAAAAAGAAAAACATTTTTTAAAAGTGTGGGCACCGTCCGTTCATACGGACAGACAGACGGACGGACGAACATGGCCAGATCGACTGGGCTATTGATCCTGATCAAGAATATATGTATATTCTTTATATGGTCGGAAACGTTTCCTTCTGCCAGTTACATACTTTTGAACGAATATAGTATACCCTTTTACTCTACGAGTAACGGGTATAAAAAAACAAATTTACGACAATTCAAGCTCATCTAGACAAAAGCTGCGAGAACAGAAAACCGTTAAATGTAAAATGCATTTGACTTTTGCCATTGCATTGACCTTGACTTGATGGAAAATATTTTCTATGGTCTGAGGTAGGTTTCCATGATATAATTTACAACATTTCACCATTATTGGTTGCTTTCAAAGTTGCCCTGCTGATAAGATGATTCCTGGCTGTTCAGCATTTACGAGCCCACAAGGCTAATAGATGTTTTTTACTTGATTTTGGATTTTTATGATACAGAAACCTATAAATCTTATTTCCGGCCTTATTGAATTAAAAAATAATTCCGACAGATTCTGACTATTAGTTTTCCTCGTCGCCCGGGTAGTTCTTATTTGTGCTATAAAAATGAAACTAATCAGTCTTTTAGGAACACTTTTATGACGATTTGCGTTTTAGATAACAAATTTCACTAGGATTTTTTGCAATTCTTCGCCAACAACAGCGTCCATTACAGTACACTCGTGACCAGTTAAGACAACCAGTAAGAAATACTTTGTATTCACTCCGAATTGACTAATTGGGTAGGAAACTATGGCCAGTTCCACAAAGACTTCTAACTGATAAGCTCTGCGACGCGTCCCCTTTACTTAAGTGTCTAAAAATAAACTATGAGTGTTGATTTTATGGATGGGCACAAGCGGAAATTGACCATTTGGTTAACGTGGCTAAAAGACCTTTGACAGTGTAGGCCAATGCAAGCTGAGGAGTGTTTTCTTCTATCCCCATTTCATTTGCTCCTGAACGGCGATGATGATCAATGGCTGGTCATTCAATTTTGTAAGCAAAGCGTAAACTGATTGTGATCGAAGGCTGCAAGCTTCGTGAAAACCTCAGCGGGCAGCCAGCTGCAGTCACTGAACTTGCAACAACGGCAAATGGAGAGGGAAGCAGGCAAGGGAGACGTCAAAAGGCCAACAAACGCACGCATACCAAGACTCGCACACATGGCCAAGTTGGTCTGGGGCTAACTAATAACAAACAACCGGCTTTCGCAGCGAGGCGCGAACAGAGAAAAATGTACAGTGAAAACATACACGAATTCCACGTATAAAAATGTCTAAGTGCAGAAAGGAAAATAACTGGGAAAATGAAACATTTAAATATCAATATTTATACCCGTTACTCGTAGAGTAACGTCAAGAATAAAAATACTTTATATGGTCTGAAACGCTTTCTTTAGACTATATATATATTGGAAGCAGCGATTTTCGAACACCACAAAACTCGTTGTACTCGAGCATTTGCGTAAGTCACTCCCAGTTGACGGTTAATGCTGTGATTTTGCTGCGCCTGCGCCTGCTGATGTTGCCGCAGCAAATTGCGCGAGTTCCTTGGCAGCCACGATGGAGCACATCTGTCGTCACATTGGAGCAGTTGTCGCTTCGCACCACTGTCTTCCAGCGAGGTGAAGGCCGCAGAAAACTCGATCCGAGCCGCACTCTTTGGACTCCTCAAAGCCAAGTCACCATTATTACAGTGAGGAAGTTTCAGCATAGAGCCGAGAGCGCTCTTGGCCATAACGAATTTGCAATAATGCCCATTCCCAACACGTCATCACCCCTCCACCCAACCACACCACCACTCCCCCCAATCGCCCTTGACTCCACTCAGCCGCTGGCTCCCAGTGCATTTTCCGCTTAAGCACGATTTCATTAATTGTCCTCAAGCATATTTTCCTTGCCCTTTGGGCCCTCACATTCGCGTGGAAGAAGGAAATGCAGTTGCGTAGCTCGTGGTACTGTATCTTTGGCATATTAGGGTTATCAGCTGGTCCAAAAATAGCAAATTTCTCTGATTATGCGAGTAAGGAGAAATTTTAAGGAAAAAATTTGCAAATCACCTAACAATTATCCCTCTTACTCCTAAAGTTAAAGGGGTAAACTAAAATCGCTGAAAAATGTGTAGCAAGTAGAAGTTCGTTTGGAAAAATACACAAACAATTTAATTTCATTTTAAGTTGAAACAGTTGATTTTAAGTTGCAGTTGAAACTGCAACATGCACATCCACACTAGTGGCAGACAATTCAACTGCCTTTAATTATAGATTCGTTGAAAAGTATTTAACAGATAGAAGTAAGCGTTTCCGACCATATAAAGTATACGATTATACATTCTTGATCAGGATCATTAGCCGAGTCCGTCCGTCTGTCAGTCCACACTTTGGAAATATGTTTTTAAATTGTTAAAAAATTTGTTTATATTGTAAATTTCTATCGATTTGCAAAAAAAAACTTTCTGCCACGCCCACAAACTGCCAAAGCCCACCCACAATTAAA